GCTTACATATATCTACTTAGTCTATCCATAATTATGTTTAGTAGCTCCCAACATGTGTAGTTAGTCTACCCATGATATACATATTATACAATTATGTTTAGTAGCTCCCAACATGTGTAGTTAGTCTACCCATGATATACATATTATACAATTATGTTTAGTAGCTCCCAACATGTGTAGTTAGTTTACCAATGATATACATAGTATCCAATTATGTTTAGTAGCTCCCAACATGTGTAGTTAGTCTACCCATGATATACATAGTATACAATTATGTTTAGTAGCTCCCAACATGTGTAGTTAGTCTACCCATGCTATACATAGCTCCCAACATGTGTAGTTAGTCTACCTATGATATACATAGTATACACTTATGTTTAGTAGCTCCCAACATGTGTAGTTAGTCAAGATCATTCATTGCTAGCTAGAAATATTATAAAATATACATCAGATTGCAGGGTTTCCAGTGCTGTCTAGATGCATTTTTTTTTATCAATTATATAGTTTATATTTAACATTCAGCGATTTACCTTTATTCTATATGGTTAAAGATTTATACCCTGTCTTATTCACTTTGTTGGTGGGGTCGGCATTGTTATACGAAAGTGGGCTTGCTGTTTATAATTAATATATATTAATATACCTGCTTGTATATAAATATAAGGATGCAATAAAACCTAAACTAAGAATTCATTTAATGATTTATTATTTTCTTTGCATAAATGTTTATTTAGAAAATACAAATTAAAGGTTTTGTGCTGACGAGGATGACAATGTCTATATCGAGTTTTATTGATTTACCCTAGCACCTGTCATTTACTGTAAGTCCTGCTAGCTAAAGTGGTTCAAAACGAAAACAATTAATATAAAAACGGATTGCACATTTTCTTGTTCTGTATAAAAATATTTTTTTAAATTTTATTTCTTTTAAATCAGTTGATTTAACATATATTTAAAAACTATTTAATTTATCAAATAGTTGCTTACATTATGTTAACAATTATAATTTCATGCAGTTATAATTGTATTTAAAATGTTGCACAAATTATTTTCAACTTTACAATATACTACGTAATGTAAGTATAAAGGTATACTACATACTATCATAAAATTTAAACATAAAGTATGGTACACGCACACTATCGTCGGTGTTTTGTAATTATCAGACAACCAGACTACACCAGTAAATAAGCCTAACAAATGTGTTCCGAAAACTCTCCCCAGTATAATGATACATCTCGATCAATAATTAAATTGTGCAATAACAATACAAATAAATATTTCATGCTAAAATGATCGAAATGTTTGATTGATTCGTTACAGTTACCGTAGACATCATGATGACTCTATCAGGGTTGATAATCATGTATATTATTTCTCTTCCTTCGTCCTTTATCAAATATATGAATGGACTATTAAAATAACGCTGGGATTGGAATTGTAATTTCGATCATTTGGTGACGATTTAAACTAATGTAAGGGTGTTTTCTATGGTTATCAGTGGCAGTGTTTGGCTACCCGACAGATGTATCGGCTTTGACAGGACTGCGCGCGTGTGTCAGCAGGACCCGTCTACAGCTTCCATCGCAGTGCAAGCACGTTACACAAACACAAAACCACGTCATTCTAAATCCATAAAACACTAACAGTAATGCATTCCATTGGAAATATATCGTAACGTTAAATTTAATGGAAAACACAGTCATTTTTCACAGGTAAAAATAAGCAGGTAAATAATACACAGGTGTAAATACTTCCTATCCCTGTTTACACCTGCCTGTCTTTTACTACCACCATTTTCTTATACTTTAATATTTGGTTCCTCCAACTACAAAATGTGTATTGGTTTTCACTCTATAAAAGTATTGATATGAATTTGGTTATTACATAAAATGTTATACAGGTTGTGTTCGGTTGGAGTTATTTTTTGTCATTTTAAATATAAGCAATAATACTATGAATTAAGCAATAATAATACTATGAATTATTCTTATACTCGAAACATTTCTTCTTTGTCGTACGGGGGCTCCATCAATGTGATGTTTATGCCCTAAAAGCCAGGAATAATTCTTTTACTTGAAACATATTAGATACTGGTTTAATTGCTAGGAATAATGCTAATACTCGAAACAATATAAAGTCCTTACCAAACCGAGTTTCCTGATTTTCCTGACTAACTAATACCCCCAACGTCGAAATAACATCTATAACCATTGACACATGTCATGCAGTAATTATTGGTTAACGTCTTGTAACAAATATAACCAGTGCATTAGATGGGGAATGTCAAATGGACCTATATATATATAATGTCTCAAATGCGTCACAAATGAAATATTTGAGATTGCAGAATCAGTTGAAATAGCTTCCTCGAAATCATGTTATTGTTTTAAGTATGAAGTCTAAGGGAAAATCCCATATGGAATATGAACTCGGAGACGAGGAGATCCAGCCAACACTCACTACCCAGTAGGGGATACATGCTTGTATCATACAGGAACGTTAAATGACCTTTTTCTATCTTATCAAAAAGTAATAATTTCAAATTAATAACTAATAATTGTGAAGAGAGTGTTCATCCTGATAATTAGTGGATGAGTGTTCTACACACACAAAGAGATGATTCCTGTTTTATGCCTCCTAATAATGTTTTATTACCTAATAATTGTCTGGAGAATGGTTATCAGTGGTTTGTCAGCCTACCTTTTCATTAAACAAAAGACTCGAACATCAGCTAAAATGTTTTTTTGTTTTATAAGTTGTACTATGTAAACGGCTGTCCAGTGCATTTTGTGTCTGAGTAAATTAATATTCAGTAGTTGCTTGTAATTTGAAAAATGAATATTCTATTTTAAATTAAGCGATCATTTCAGGGCATTATTTTTGTGATGAAATATGATTATAGGAATTAGTAAGTAATAACCTTTGATATATTCAATCAGTCATTTGTTTGTATGAAACATTTGATAAAAAAATTATCAACCTAAAATTGAATTTATGTTTTAAAAGAATAATTAATTAAAATAAAATTTCCAGTTTGATATCCCTTCTTTGAATGTGTGATTTCATATACATCATTATTCTGTAGTAGCCATCAACAACGCTAAGAATACTTTTTGCATTACTTCACGAAATACTAACCTACCTTGTAACCAATACGTTTATTATTTATTTAACAGAGAAGGGCCTGGGATTATAATGTGGTCAGACGAAACATAAAAACCGGTGATAAACAAGGAAGTAATGGCTGTGTGCTATTTATTGTCACCTGTTCGTGTTAACACCTATGTCAAGAGGAACACGTAACGTCCGTGGTTGTACAGCTGACGTTATTAATTAGGCCGGAGTGAGGTTAGAACAATAATGATGAATTTATAATTGACCTGGTCACAACTTGTATATACAACGTTTACTGACCCAGTGATTACGACAAGTCTGGCTCAGGAGTGTACTCACCCGTCCATTGTATTTAACATTGCATTTATAGCCCCTCTGTCGGGTTTAGGATATCTTATATAGGTGATGTGTCACGCTTAGGGTATCTTACACTATAGATGTGTGGAGTTGAGGATATCATTACTAAAACGAAGAAATAGCTGTATGGTGCATTTTAATTCATTTTGGCCTTCTGTATCTATTAGTAAATATCAAAGCTGCATCCTACATTTGAGATAAGTCGAGTTTAGGATTTTATTTATAATAGACATGCAGAGGTTATGATATCTTATTTGTTTGTTGAGTTAAATATATGTTATAGATTGTAATATTTTATGATTTTTCATTTTAAACTGAAAATCCCCCCTACCAAACGATATTACATTATCGATATTGATAGTATTCCCCAATTATCAATTATATTCTTTCAAATAGTGAAATACATATATTTTTTGTTTTACTTTTGAATACATTCCTGGTATTCAATGTTTACTGTTTGGAAATAGACACTTATATAAATATATATGTGTGAATATAAAATTGATTTAAAATAAGGAACATCTCAAAATAACAATTCTTTTCTCCTTTTGTATAATTTATTATTGAACAGTAATGGCGAGTTTAACATGTATGTATATAGGACGTCGAATGATATCATATATATCATAAATATTTACCTCACAATGTCGTAATTATCTTTGAAAGCTCCCTTCTGTTTTACAATCACATAATTAACGTTTTATGTGTGTGTGACAATGTTAAAACATGTCTACGTAAAGTCTCTAGCGATCCTGTTATGATATAGTTTACATACGGCGCGTTGCACATCTATTAAGAATTCTGTGGAAGGACTATCACTTATAGTATGATAATAACGTCACTCCTATTAGTGCACCTTTCTGCTTTTCTTGTTTGTATGCATAGTAGGCTTGCCTTGGTTGCACTCTTCATCGTTATGTTCAAACACACACCCGTAAGTCGAACGTCAGTTTGCAATAAACAAATTATAATAATTTATAATATACATATTTTGTAAAGAGCCCTAGTAATTTATAGAAATAATTCCCTGAAACTTATAGATATTTGTTTAATTTATTTGTATTAACAAGGAAAATAACCATGAACTAAATAACTGTCTTTGTTATTTGTTTAATTTGTTAATTTGTTTAATTTGTTTTTAAACTGCATTTAATACTATAATTCACTAATTTTCTATTTGCTTGACATCGATTATTTACACATGAGATGCCATTAAGAACATATCAATGACACCTCTAGTTGTCAATTACATGTTAATCGTAAGATATAAACATGGTCCAGTTGTGTATCATTTCGTAGAATGTTGTTATATCCGACTAGTTCATACAATCAAGTTGTTGTAGTTGAGTAACACTTTTTGTTATGATATGAACAGAACCCATTTCGGATCGCTGTCATATTCGTCCCTTTAACACTGTATTTCATGGGCTCTGTCCAAAACAAAACTCCGGATAAAATTATATCGATACAAATATGATCAAAATATATTATAAATAAATACAGAAATAAAATAAATCATAACTTACCTTTTTATGTGATCCTGATTCCTAAGTGTATCCTGTATATGTATCATATATATATATATGATCACCTGTGTATCAGGCTGTCATTATTTCACCTGTACTACAAGTGTGTGTCACTGTGTACAGACTAGCTCGCCACGCTGAAATGCATGTTTTAAATAGGTATACGTAGCTAGTTCTGGTCCAGGCGAGCGTGTGTCCTTACCGGTCCGTGTACCAGCCACACATGTCCTATCGGCGCCCCGGTCCCAAACAACCCCAAACCGACCCGTCAGTCACAGTACAGTCTTCACACTGGGGCATTTAAAGCCACGACAGACCTTTTATCGAGATTCAATTCGATCGTTCCTGCTTCTGATATACAAATTTAAATTCCAAGCAGCTCTAGTAGTTTTTCACGGTGAGATTATATTTCAGCATATTGTTTATATCAACACTACCAAAATAGTCGACTGCACATAGTCAAACTGCTTTATCGACAGCCAGTCGATCGCGAAGGAAAGAAAAACTAGCGTTGCACCCTACGATAATGGAAGTCCTCTGATCCGTGAAGACCCTTGCATTCGAGTACAATTGGGCAAATATGATAATACACTACGGGCTCGGTCCCGCAAACTGTCGCTTAAAAGAAAAGTTTGAGAAGGTATTGTGAGACTGTAAATATGAGTGAATAGGCACTGGTGACAGCGATTGTTAACAAACACGAACATAATATATACAACATGCAGACACCAGCAGGACGGGTAAAACCATTGTACAGATAGCTTTAACATGTCTCAGGCCAGTCGTCTGGTCACTGGTACATTATAATAACTATACCTAGAAACTTTCTTTACTTATGTTTCCATGTTTTTATTATACAATCAGCCAGGTAAATACATGTGATTATTTACAAGTTTGGTGACAATGGTTGATCGGTAAGCTGACCAAACAATGCAGGGCCTTGGTGAGTTACTACTAGAGGCATAGCCTGTTTGGTGGTGATCACTGGCATTTAGGTCGTCCTCTAAGGACAGTTTATCCCTGCTAATAAGCTTTATTAGAGCAACCGAAATCTTTAAAATAGAACAAAAGACAAAGATTTCTGAATAGCGCATAGAGTAGTTCGTGTCCTGTGTGTGGATTCAACAGAATGGCTGTTCTCTACTACACTGGGACCTTAATTATTGGGGAGAGAATACACTTACGCCAGCAGGTTTATTAAGTATGTCGAGATTTTTTCCTCATCACTCCATGTAGTACATTAGTTTTATTGATATATTCGCACGGAGAAATTATAACTGTATGTTAAATTGGCTCAAACACTTTCTTTTACTGACGCTAGTATAAAGTATGGGGAAGTTACTGAAGTTGGTGTAATAAAAGTATTTTAATGAATCTAGTGTTTGTGATGGTGTTTTACTGATACTGGCGTTTGTGATAGTATATTATTGAAGCTAGTGTTATAATGGTGTTTTACTGAATCTGGTGTTTGTGATAGTATATTATTGAAGCTAGTGTTTTAATGGTGTTTTACTGAATCTGGTGTTTATGATAGTATATATTATTGAAGCTAGTGTTTATGATGGCGTTTTACTGATTCTGGTGTTTGTGAATAATGGTGTTTTACTGAATCTGGTGTTTGTGATAGTATATTATTGAAGCTAGTGTTATGATAGTGTTTTACTGAATCTGGTGTTTGTGATAGTATATTATCGAAGCTAGTGTTATGATGGTGTTTTACTGAATCTGGTGTTTGTGATAGTACATTATTGAAGCTAGTGTTTATGATGGCGTTTTAATGAATCTGGTGTTTGTGATAATATATTATTGAAGCTAGCGTTTAAAATGGCGTTTTACTGAATCTGGTGTTTGTGATAATCTATTATTGAAGCTAGCGTTTAAAATGGCGTTTTACTGAAGCTGGTGTTTGTGATAGTATATTATTGAAGCTAGTGTTTATGATGGCGTTTTACTGAATCTGGTGTTTGTGATAATATATTATTGAAGCTAGCGTTTAAAATGGCGTTTTACTGAAGCTGGTGTTTGTGATAGTATATTATTGAAGCTAGTGTTTATGATGGCGTTTTACTGAAGCTGGTGTTTGTGATAGAATATTATTGAAGCTAGTGTTTATGATGACGTGTGCTTTTTAACTGAATTAGAGTTTTGTTTCTATATGAAGCAGAAAATGTAGACTATATATCTTGAGATCACATTAAACTACCCACATCTATGATGTATGTGTATAAACTGACCTAGTTAGGTAATATATATTTCTACACTGATGAACAAGCAACAAAAAAGGATTGCTCACAACCCAAAGTCAGTCTTGATTATATCGTCATTAAATGCGTAGGTTTAATCTTAACATCAAGTGTGTTGACAACAAATTATATAACATATCGGGCGTGTTTGCCCCTGTTTAATGCCTATGATACCGTGCTTATTTTATATGTTGTCACGTTTCTGTAAGATATTGTGATCTTGATGAGTCAATGCATTTTCCATGTCTCATAAATAAGATGATCAGGTTACCCGAGTGGGGCAGTGAAAGCCTTCCTTACATAAATACGGTAACAGGGCTAGTTTAGTTTAATTTAATCCACTAACCACACGCTATGTGCTAAACAAATTTGTTAATTGTTAAGAGCGAAACCAGATTAGAAGGGCTACACAATGGTGTGACTAGCCTTGTTAGGACTGTGAGCTGATCAGTCTAGACGAAGGTCTTTAATGTATAACTTCTGTTTCGTCCGATATCACAGTCCGTCCGATACTTTATTTCATAATACGGAGAGTAAATGTTACAGTTATGATACGACCCAAGCAAGACTTGCTGTCGTTGGAAATACGTTAAAACGTTGAAGGAAAACTATTACTTAGAAAGTTACGTCTCTTAAAGTATTGGTTGATTGTGTTTACTAACAACGATTGGGGATTTAACTGTGTAACAACATATACAGATATCACCGAAGTATGTGTAGCCTTGCTTTGGTGAGGTGTCCCATTACAAACTGATAATTTAATGTTAAAGTAAAAAAATGGAATCGATGAAGCGGATAGAAGCATTCCGGTACTATCAAAATAACTTTTAAATGAGCAAACTGTGCGTATATTTGCAATGCAAAGCACTTAAAATAACTGTGATAGTGTACTGGCTTGGTTAGGCATGTAGTATGTGACTACTACATTAACACTTTCCTGATCAGTGTTAATGATAATCTTCTTATGTCGAAAAAAGCCCATGTCATGTTTAACAAACAAATTAAAAACATTCTGTCCTTCCTACGTAATACGAGCATTTTGCATTATATATTAGTCACTCTCATCGGACGTCACAGCTACTATCATCACCGGGCGTCATAGAAACCACTCTCACTGGACGTCAAAGTTACAAATCTCAATGGACGTCACAGTCACCAACCTCATCGGACGTCATAGTTCCACCATCACCGACGTCATAGAAAACACTCTCACTGGACGTCTCAGTCACCACTCTCACCGGACGTCATAGAAACCACCTTAGCTGGACGTCAAAGTTACAAATATATGGATGTCACAGTAACCAACTTACCGGACGTGACAGTCACCAATCTCACCAGACGTGACAGTCACCAATATCACCGGACGTGACAGTCACCACTCTCACAGAACGTCACAGTTACCAATTTCACCGGATGTCACAGTTACAAATCTCACCAGACGTCACATTTACTACTCTCACCGGAAGTCACATTTACTACTCTCACCGGAAGTCACAGTTACCACTCTCACCGGACGTCACAGTCACCACTCTCACCGGACGTCACAGTCACCACTCTCACCGGACATCACAATAACCTCTCTAACCAGACGTCACATTTACTACTCTCACCGGACGTCACAGTCACCAATCTCACCGGACGTCATAGTTACCACTCTCTCCGGACGTCACTGTTACCACTCTCACCAGACGTCACAGTTATCAATATCACCAGACGTCACAGTTACCACTCTCACCGGACGTCACAGTCATCTCTCTCACCAGACGTCACAGTTACCAATATCACCAGACGTCACAGTTACCAATCTCACCGGACGTCACAGTTACCAATCTCACCGGACGTCACAGTTACCACTGTTACTGGTCGTTACGGTAACCACCTTCACCGAATGTCACAGTTACCGCTTTCACCAGATGTCACAGTTACCAATCTCACCGGACGTCAAAGTAACCAATCCCACCGGACGTAATAGGAACCACTCTCATCGGACGTCACAGTCACCACTCTCACCGGACGTCTTAGATATATAATATATTAGTCACTCTCACCGGACGTCACAGTTACTATCATCACCGGGCGTCATAGAAACCACTCTCACTGGACGTCAAAGTTACAAATCTCAATGGACGTAACAGTCACCAATCTCACCGGATGTCACAGTAACCAATCTCACCTGACGTCAAAGTAACCAATCCCAACGGACGTTACAGTAACCACTCTCATCGGACGTCACAGTCACCACTCTCACCGGACGTCTTATATATATAATATATTAGTCACTCTCATCGGACGTCACAGTTACTATCATCACCGGGCGTCATAGAAACCACTCTCACTGGACGTCAAAGTTACAAATCTCAATGGACGTAACAGTCACCAATCTCACCGGATATCACAGTAACCAATCTCACTGGAAGTCACAGTTACCAATCTCACCAGACGTCACAGTTACCAATCTCACAGGACGTCATAGCTACCACCATCACCGGCGTCATAGACACCACTCTCAACGGACGTCAAAGTTACAAATCTCAATGGACGTTACAGTCATCACTCTCACCGGTCGTCACATGAACCACTCTCACCGGACGTCACAGTTACTACTCTCATCTGACGTCACAGTCACCACTCTCACCGGTCGTCACAGTCACCACTCTCACCGGACGTCATAGTCACTACTCTCACAAGACGCCACAGTTACCACTTTTACCGGATGTTTCAGTTGCCACATCACTGGACGTCACAGTTACCCCTCCCACCACACGTCACACAGCTATGAATTGTCATGACACACATCCTCGGACATTTCAACTGGTATATTGGGTCACTTATTGCATCCTTACCACTACTTCTACGTTACGTAATTTTGTTATTAGATTAATCTGAATAATTAAGCGATTTACGGAAGTAGTTTCAACTCACTTATATTATAGAAAGAAATATTTCTATTAGCGAGGTGTTTAACTTCTATATTGTTCTTAGAAATCTATAAAAACTAGATGTGTATATGTTTGTGTGCGCTATGTATTTTTTGTGTACTGAATTATTTCCTTGTATAATAGAAAGTGACCTTTTTTTGCAAATGTAATCGAGGAAGTATTATTTTTGTTGTTAATATTACAAGGTGGTACGAGAGGTAAAATATGATATAAACATGTGTTCATTGTACTGTTCTGAATTATCTATGGTTCGTAGTCCTACAGCTGTTTAACAACAAAAACATCGACACGTATATGTGTAAAACACTAGAAAATTGGTATATGGTAGGTATGCATTAACGGTACTGGAAATAAAAA